TCAGGGGGAGATGGAGGGTCATGCACTGGACGTCAGGGGACTGGATGTCAGGGGACATGCACTGGACGTCAGGGTCATGCACTGGACATCAGGGTCACGCACTGGATGTCAGGGCAGACCACTGGAAAGCGCTCGCAGTTGGCACGAAGGGTGTGGCCGAGACGGTGGCTGGGACCGCGTGAGCTTCGCCCGGCAACGGAAGCTGAGGCCCAGAGAGAAGGGTCAGTGGAACGGAATGTCTGCGGGGAGGGGGCCAGCACGAAGTTTCCCATTTTCAAAACCTCCCACTGTTAACTTCTCCAGAGCTGAGAAAGGCTGCCCAGGGGAACACACACGTGTTCAAGAAGAGCCTATTCCGAAGGAGACAGAATGTTCTCTGTGCTGTCTGCAGAAAGAAAGGGGTCCCATAAATATGCAGCAGAAAAATGAGCAACGGGTGTGCCGTCACACGGAAGGCGGCGGCCGCTGGGAAGGTGATGCGCGCCCCGTGCGTGCGACGGCAGGAAGAAGCCCACGCCGCGTAGGAGGCGCTGTGTGCTGCTGGCCCGCGACAGCTGTCTGCACAGGGCGGCGTCTTACACAGCTGTCTCATACCCGGCTGTTCCGGCTGCCAGCCCGCGGCCGGCGTGCACCTTCGTCCTGACCCACGGCGCCCGGGCTCGCTGCCCGCTCTGCAAACGAGGACAGGGGGGTGCTGAGGGCTGGACGTCGGGCGTCGGTGACATGCCCCGCGGTGGCCAGCGACCTGGAGCCGCCCTTGCGATGCCACAGGTTGTGCAAGGCTCTCGAGGGCCCAGGGGAGGCCAAGCTGCCGAGGTGGGGCAGCCTGGCAGGACTGCGTGCTCCGGTCTCTCCCCTCCGCAAGAGGGGAGACTCTGGGCCCTGGGGCCTCCCTGGGGCACAGGGTGAGTGTCAGCGCCATGAAGCAGTCAGCCGCCCCTGCGGCGAGAGTTCTCCCGGCCGGGGAGTGACCGCAAGGCACAGCAGACCCCTCCTGTCTCCCCACTGCCCCCAGCAGTGGATGTCAGTTGATCTGTCTCTTCTGCTCCCCACTCTGTCTTTGGAGGGGGGGGGGTCCTCTCACCCTCTGCACCTCTAGTCTGCACCCCAGCTCTTTCATACATAAATAAATAAGATAAATTTTAAAAAAAACTTTGAGACCTGGAGACCGTGGACAAGAGTCGAGTCTACACAAACCCACTGGCCAGGCTGCTGCCTCCTGAAACGCGGCCTCTTGCTCCGACGCGCTGATTTATCAACTGTGAGGAGGAAGGATGCTCCAGACGTACGGAGGCCTGACGAGCCGGCCCGCCCCGACCGGGCCTTCCGAAGTCCTTTGTGAGTCTTTAATTAGTTTTCTGCTGCGCCGGGGTGTGTCGCTACTTTGCTCCGCTCTCCTTCACTGGAAAGCTCGGTGCTTCAAAGAAGAAACACCATGCCGGGGGCGCCCAGCTCCCTCAGAACAAAGCCAAAGGCAACCTTACGTGTGTGTAGGGCCAGCCCTGCGCGCCCCACCCCCGGCCCCCTGCGCTGGCTGAGCTCACCGTGGGGGCTGGTTTCTTCCGTCCAAGCCCCCCGCAGCCCTGCCCTCGGGCGATACCTGCTCTGCCAGGGCCTCGTCCAGTAGAGCCGTCTATGGCTCCCTCCTGCCCTCTGAGAGAGAGCGAGGGCCCCCCCGGCCCACACACGTCTGCCACCTCCCACCGCCCCCGAACCTGCTGCATTCCCCCCAAGCCGTCCCCACCGTGCGCCGCCCAGAGTCAGGGCCGGGCCACAGAGCCACGGAGCCCGGCCGCAGCCAGCCGGCCCAGCTTGAATTTGCAGTTTTCAGATCGCCCTGAGTGTGGAACCAGAAAACAGGGCACTTCCTCGGGCTCCTGGATCAGTCTCCCGCGGTGGCCACGGGGAGCCAGGGTCGGTCGCCGCGCAGCGTGTCTTGAGGCTGGTGCTGGCCCGGCCGGGTAGGCCTGTGGGTGGGCAGCTCTGCGGTCAGCTCTGCTGCCCAGCAGCGGGGCTCCGGTCGGGGCGGCGAGACGGCTGCCCTGCGGGAAGCTGGCGCCACGGCAGCGCGGCCTGCCTGGCTGCTCTGCAGCTCCGGACGGGAGAGGGCGAGGCGGCGCCCAGTCACCGCCGGGTGCGCCCCCACGACCCGGGCGGGCCAGGAGCTTGAGAACAGGCCCTGGCGTCGCCCGCCCCATGTTCGAGTCCTGGCTCCGTACCGCCTGCGTTGTGACCTGGACAGGTTACGTGACCGGCCCCGGCTGCCGCAGAGGGTGTCTGAGGCTACTGCTGGAGTTAGCACAAGCCAGCAGAACAAGGTCAGCCTGTGAAACCTCCGGAGCCCGCCTGCCCTTGAGACTCCTCCCTCCTCCCTCCACCGATTCCTCGTGGTGTTCAGCAGATCCGGGACTAATGCACGAATTAAGTATCTCCTTGAAAATCATTCCTCAGTTACAGGCTTTGGCCCTTGTAAGGTTTCAGAGAAGAAAGCAGAAAGGCGGCTTCCGAGCGCCGGAAGCTTCCGCGTGGCAGTGGGCCGAGAGGAGTCCTCGGGAGTGGCGCCGGCTGGAGAGGGCTGCCCAGGCCTCGCACCGATGGCGACCAGCGTGGGCTGGGGCGCGGGGGCTGAGGGTGGTGTTATGGGGACTCGGGAATGTGGGTGCTGAGCAGCGCTGAAAGACAATGCTCTGTAGGGGCGGCCCCAGGACTCCCCTCCCCTGCCGGGGTGGGGCAGGCCCTCTCCGCACTCCCCTGCTGCGAAGCACTGCTCTGCCCAGAGGCCTGGGCTGGCTGCCAGGCTCCTCGGAGACCTGCCTGGGGCGCTGGGAGGGGTTTGCCCCCGGCCCCTGGATCCTTGGAGTTGAGTGCTGACGGCGCCATATTGTTCCAGGCCATGCTCCGAGTCTGGCCCACCTGGTGCCCACATTATGTTCTCTGCCCGTGACACCTGCTGCCCTCCGGAGGAGGCCAGATGCCGGAGGCCAACTGGCTTCCCGCCCTTCCTCCCGCCCCTCCCTTCCTGGGGACCCACCTAAGGGGCAGCCTTGTGTTTGGAAAAGGACTTGTGATTTTTCTGCCTCAAGCCAACCCAGGACCAAGGCTGACGCTCAGCTCCAACCTGAAGCCCGTTCCCTAGCGCAGGTCACCCGAAGGGTGGCGCCTGCGTGTGGGTCTATCAGACAGCGGGTGTGGGCGCGGGCACACGCCACTCTGGCCTCAGCTTCTCTCTAAAATCCCTCCGCAGCCAGGCACCTTCTCTGACTCTCTTCTGACCAGTCTTTCTGTTCCAGGGCACCCCAATGTGAATCGGGTTGCCTGTCTGTGGGTCTTCACCCGCGCGCTTACGATGCAATCGTATTATGGGCACACTCAAAAAGGTTCAGTAATGGATTTATTTATAAGGAGAAAGGTAAAGGAACAACCCAGGGAAAGAGGGGGAGAAAGACAAGTTAACTAGGATGTCCTGCCAGTTCTGCTGACTTGGACGCCACCGGCACGCTGAAGACAGATCGAGAGCCAGCGACCAGCCGCGAACCCCCAGGCCAAGAGCCCCCGGAGCCCACATGTCCGGTTTTCCCCTAACCTGGCTGCTCAGCTCCGCCCTCACGCCCCAGCTGCTTCTCCTTGCTGTTGATGGGGTTAGTAGTTCCAGTGTCTGGGGTGGGGGCGGGGTCCATGAGACCCGTACCTGTTACATGTCCACACACAAGTTCCCCGCCGGACAAGGAAACCTGCCTCACTGCACCCACCACGCTCCCATTCGCCCCGGGTTGTGGCCCTTGACAGAATGGACAGACCCCCGCCCTCAAAGAGCTTGTGACGGGAGGCGAGGCCAGGCAGGCCGCCCCGAAGGGAAGGGCAGCGCAGCCGACCCGGGGGCCGATGACCAGCACCG